TATTATAATTAGTGATGTGTCTGGCAGTCAGTCTACCATCTTGGTATGTTTTCCACTTGCCACCTCTGTTTTTGACCCGCTTTTACTCCTTTCCCCCTTCTTGTGTATTAATCAAATATTTGTTTTTTAGTATTCCATTTCATTTCCTCTCCTGGCTTCCTCACTGTGCAGCTCTTGTCTGCTTGGTGTTGTCACCCTGCCTGTCATGTGTCATAGCCCTGCACGAGCAGGATTGCAGTGCCCACCCTCCCGTGCTTTCTGCTGTGCTGTTGTATATTTTACTTTCACACTCACTGTAAACCCCACCTTACAATGTTACTGGTTTTGTGTTAAAACATCGGTTGTGCCCTAGCCGGTTTGGCTCAGTGGATAGAACGTCGGCCTGCGGACTGAGGGGTCCAGGGTTCAACTCTAGTCAAGGGCACATGCCCAGGTTGAGGACTCGATCCCCAGCAGGGGGTGTGCAGGAGGCGGCCGATCCATGATTCTCTCTCATCATTTATGTTTCTATCTCTCTCCTCCCCCTTCCTCTCTGAAAGCAATAAAAAAAATTTTTAAAAAATCAGTTGTTATTTCTTAAAAATCACAGGAAATAAAAATATATTATTACAAAAATTTCATTTTTTAACATTGTAGGTTTCAGATGTCATAATCTCTTGAATGCTGGCGCCTCACCCAGCCCTGATGCTAATGAACTGTGCCCGGAAGCCCAGAGAGCCCCTTGGCTCCTGGGTGAACCCCATTTAGGGCCATCCAAATGTGGTTGTCTGCAACTGATTTTAATAGAAAAATAAACAGATCCTTGTCCCCTGGGGACAAATGTGATGGGTGTGTTAATTTCATTAACGAGAATGCAGCCAACCAGAGAAATGAATAAAATCAGCTTTATGCAGCTTAAACACTGACATTTGAAACAAATCATTATTGCATTAGCTGTCACACTGGTAACTCTAGAATCTAAGGAAAAAAATATATTATGGATGTTTTTATAAACCTTTGCAAATGCACTGATAAAATAATTTATGATCATTTGAAAACACGGTTGGGTCCTGGTGAATATTTGCTCTCTAAATAAGCTACCCTATTACCCCGGCATATTTTACACCCCTGTGCCATTCCCAGCCCTAACCCCCATCTTTCACAACGGAGACAGCGGAGGCGCTCTGTATTTATTTATTTATTTATTTTTAATTTCTTAAATACATTAGAGAAGAAAGGAGAGAGAGATAGAAACATCAATGATGAGAAAGGATCATCAATTGGCTGCCTCCTGCACGCCCCGCCCCCTCTTGGGGATCGAGCCCACAACCCAGGCATGTGCCCTTGACCAGAATCGAACCCGGGACCCCTCAGTCAGCAGGCCGACGCTCTGTCCACTGAGCCAAACCAGCTAGGGCTGGAGGCTCTGTTTAAACAAACCTGATGAGCAAGGGGGCACGTCTTCATTCTGGCCTGACCCTGCCCTTGAGGTGGAAGCCTTGGTGCAGTGACAGACTCACCTGAAATGTGCGTCCGGTCAGAGGCTGGTGCTGCCGAGCCCTGAGAGTCAGGTAGCATCAGTCTTCCAACTTTATTTTCTCCTTTAATACTGTGTTGGCTATTCTGGGTTGGGGTGTTTTTGTGTGTGTGTGTGTGTGTGTGTGTGTGTGTGTGTTTTTAACTTTCATTTCTCTGGTAATAGTTCCTATCTGTTCACTCACCAAGGCAGGTTTTGTTTTGTTTTTTTGGTAATTATTTAGTGCATTTCCTTTCATGTTTTCTTTAAAAACATATTTAAATAGTTGCTTTAAAATCTCTGTCTGATATGTTCAACATCTGTGCCATTCTGGGTCAGTTTCTATTAACTGCTTTTTTCCCCCTTGACTATGGCTCATCATATATTTCTGCTTCTTTGAGTGTCTAATAATTTTTTGTTTGTTTGCTGGACATTGTAAATAATATGAGATAGAGACTCTGAATTCTATTCTTTTGCTTTGAAGGGTGTTCACTTTTGTTCTTGCAGGCAGTTCAGTCACTGGCTGTTCACCTTGAACGTGTGTGGGTTTGGTTTTGTGCTCTGTTAGGGCAGGTCTGTGGGAAGCCCAGGGTCATTCCCAGGTTCCTCTAATGTGGTGGGACCAACTTCCCAACTCGTAGGGCCTGGTTTCCCGCTTCGTCACAGTAAGTCTGGAGTGGGCCCTGCCCGAAGGTGTAATCCTCATTCTTGAAGCCAGGCCATGTGGCATCTCAGTGAGTATTAGATTGTCAGGCTGTCTTTGCACTTGGGTCCTCCCAGGTTCCTCTCATGTGGTGGGACCAACTTCCCAACTCGTAGGGCCTGGTTTCCCGCTTCGTCACAGTAAGTCTGGAGTGGGCCCTGCCCGAAGGTGTAATCCTCATTCTTGAAGCCGGGCCATGTGGCATCTCAGTATTAGATTGTCAGGCTGTCTTTGCACTCGGGTCCCGGCTGGGCCTGAGATCGCTGTTGGTCTCTTGTATCTGTAATGTTTAACCCTGTAGCAGCCACTGTCTGGTGAACCTGGTGTGGTGCCCTGAGCATGCAGCCTCCCACAGAAGTCATGGGACCACACACAGCCTTCAGCCCCTCCACCAGCCCCCTCTATGCCGCTGCCATGCCCCAGATTTCAGCTGCTCTCGCTGCCCCACACTCTGACCCCTGCCTTTCCACTTCACATAGCTGCTGAGCTCCACCTGGACCCGTGGCTGGAACATTCCCGGGGCAGAGAGCTGCTGGGGCATTTGGGAGATTTATCTCATCAGCTGCCCTTGCCTCCTGTTGTCCGGTACCTGTTCATAGTTGTGTCGTATATTTTGTCCAGTTTGATGGTTGTTTACAGCAAGAGGACTGGCCTGGTACCAGTTACTCCATCACAGCCACTTTCCGATTATTCTTGCTTCACAAACGATAAGATGTTTATTTGTTGATGGATATTCATAGCTCTTTATTATGACTTGTACCCTTTATCATTGTTAAGTATGGTATATAGTCTGACACAATGCTTTTGGCTCTGAATTCAGCCTTTCTTCATAAGATTGGACCCCTCTTTCTCTTGTCTGCAGTCTCCTAGTATATCTTTGCCAATCATTCTGTTGGCATCTCTCTCATACGTAGCACAGATTTGGATTAACTTTGGATTCCAATCATAAATCTGTTGTTTAATCCTTGGTGGAGAAATACAAGGGAAAATGCTAGGAAACAAAGGTACCTAAAGTCTGGGATGGTGGGGCAGAGGAAATAACGTTTTGTCATTATTGACAGAGTGTCGATAATCTCTCAAATAGGAGGTTTACTGTTGTATCTTTTCCCCAAATGACAAAAGATGGGCAAATCGGTAACTTAGCATCCCATCGCTCTTGCTACCCTCCCATATTTCTGTTAGTTACATAACCGGTTCTATAGCCATAATCCCCATATTGTTTTAGACCTAATCCTGCAGGCATTCCCGCCTTCACTGTCTTGTTACAAGTCTCCGTCTGCTGTTTCGATTACCCCTCGTGTCTCTGCGTTTTCCTTCCCCATCGTCCTGTGCTCTGCCTGTGCGTTCCTCCTCTCTTGTGCTGCTTCGGGTTTTTGTTTTATAGAGGTAACTGCTTCATGAAGTTTTGTTTGTGAATTTAAGGCTGAAATGCTTGCTGACATTTGCCATTGGCTTCCAAGGAATGTGGCCATTTCTTTCCTTCATTTCCCTTGTGTTATCTTTGTAGAAATGAGTGATTCTCATCTAGGGCACTGTGGCCCCATTGGGAGGTGAATCAGGAGAACAGGGGGTGCTGGTGAGGGGTGGCCAGGTGAGTTCTGGGCAGCGTGATCTCGTGATACACAGAGCTAGGCCAAACACAGGAGCGGTGGAAGGAGGTGGCCAGTTGGGGTTGTCACAATGACGGCCAAGTGCCTCTGTCATTTAGTGTTGGGGGGACAGAGGTGCCAGGTGCCCTGCGGAGCAAGGCACAGTCCTGTGTAACTGAGAGCCGCGTGACCACAGGCAGCTCTGGTTGCAGGAGGCACCTGTTGGGGAGGGGTCATCGCCTGGCACTGAGGAGTATGGGGGTGTCAGCGCCAGAGATGCCAGCCCTGATGGTTGCTCCACACCAATCATGTGCCTGTGCAACTTGTTTTGTGCCAGCATCGCTTTCTTCTGGGACCCAGGCTGGGGACAAAGGCTTTCCCGCGGCCTTAGCCCTGCCCTGCAGCCTGTGGTCAGTGTTGTCCTCCGCTCGTCTCACCCACATGCTGCTTGTTCCCACTCTTGGCGGCCTTCAACCCCTCTCGCCTTTTGAGGTTTCACTTAATCTCAGTTTTGCTGAAGATGGGCTTTGCGTTGGCTGTACTCCGGGTGCTTTGGGCGGGTGTGAGGTTTCTCCGGAGGGAGGCATGCCGGCTTCGTGTTGCTGTCGAGCTGGAAATGTTGCCGCTCACCTGGACGGTGGGTGCAGTGTGAGGGGCCCCACGATCCCGCCCACTGAGCTTTTTCCTGAGGGCCTGATGGGGGGGCCCCATCAGAGCCCCCAATTCCCAGCAGACCTCGTGCAGGGGCTTGTGCAGGGGGCAGCTCTGTGGGGCCTCAGGACTCTCTGAGGGAAGGTCCCAAAGTCCTCCATCATAACCCCAGGGTTTGGCTAAGGGCAGGAGTTGGGCCGCTTCCCTCAGCCGGCCTGCTCCCAGGAGGAAGGGGTGAGTTTGTGTAGCAGCCCACATTTCCGTCCTGTTCCAGCTGCTGGACGGGGTGGGCAGGATGTTGGAGATGGGAGCCTCTGTGACAGGTCCCAGAAGCCCCCTGATGACTCTCTGTGTCCTCCATCATAACCCCAGGGTTTGGCTAAGGGCAGGGGTCGGGCCGCTTCCGGCCTGCTCCCAGGAGGAAGGGGTGAGTTTGCGTAGCAGCCCACATTTCCGTCCTGTTCCGGCTGCTGGACGGGGTGGGCGGGATGTTGGAGATGGGAGCCTCTGTGACGGATCCCAGAAGCCCCCTAATGATTCTCTGCGTCTCTCGATCCTGTAGGTGCGCGGGAAGCATGAACTCACCAATCCTGGGATCTCTGACGTCAAGATCCGGCCTGACCGAAAGATCCTGGCCACTGCGGGCTGGGACCATCGGGTTCGCGTGTTTCACTGGCGGACGATGAAGCCACTGGCCGTGCTGGCCTTCCACAGCGCTGTGGTCCACTGCGTGGCCTTCGCCGCAGATGGCCTGCTGGCCGCGGGGTCCAGGGATCATCGCATCAGCATCTGGTCGCTCTACCCACGCTCGTGACTTGCCCGCTCCCTGTTCTGGACACACGGAGGACAAAGAGGTGGCACCCACACTTAGGCCTGACCCAGGCACGTGGAAGCCATGCTCAGGGCCCTGTGGACAGCAGGTCACCGCTTCGCCTCCTCCAGTCTCGAGAAGAGCTTGGTCCGTGGAGTCCTCGCTTTTTGCACGTGGCTTGTTTCCTCCTGTGAAATAGGGCATCTGTGCAGCCGTGACGCTGCAGTTTACAGGGTAACTGGGCAGACACCTGGGCACGCGTCACCTGGGTAAGAGGCCATGGGGGTGCTTTACAGTAAACCTAAAGTTGCAAACCTGCAGGCTCGAGGTACGAATTCTCCAAGGCAACCCCCCTCCCCCCCTCAGGGTCATAGCGAAGACCCTCCACCTGGCTGGCTGGTCAGCCTGTATCCAGCAGGGGACACTGAGTGTGGTCCCCAGGACCTGCCGACTCCACGGGGCGCCTCACCTCAAGGACAGCCGGGAGCTCTGACGCACAGTCCCAGGCCCGGGCAGTAGAAGGAAGTGACTGACTAAGGAGGCCAGGCAGAAAGAGGGCGCTGAGGGGGCGGTGAAGGCAACTGGGCAGAGAGACCCCAGCTAGGGCAGGCCAACGCAGGATTAGTGGGAGGAAGCGCCGCCCAAAGAGAGTGAGACCAAGGGTGGCTCAGGCCATGTCCGGGGCGGTTTTGGGGCGGGAAGCACAGGATCATATGTGACAGGCCAGGCCCCCGGCAGCCCAGGCACAGTCACAGCCTGCACCACACACCCAGGGCAGCTGGGAGTTAGCAGCCCAATCAGGCATTGCACCCAGAGCCTCCTCACATATGTGGCCGGGCCCCACGTCAGGGCGTCTTCTCTTAAAGCTGAATCAATGATAGGGAAGAAGTAGGATCCTTCAAAGGGGGTAGGAGCTACGGCAGATCCCGGGGAAGCCGGCGGTCTCAGACCCCTTTGTTCTGCCGGCTTCTTTGCCAGAAGAGCCCCCTCTGGGCCCTCCCTGAGGAGGTCAGCCCTCCTTTACCTGCAGCGCCTAGACTGGCCTCCCATAGGCAGGGGCCTCGTGGGCCACTCAGCATCCTCAGCCCCGCCCCACTTTGCTTATAACCAGACGCAGGCCCCAAGGTGAGGAGCAAAGTGTGACCCGTGAGGAGGTGGCTCTGCTCCAGAAGAGCTGCGTGGTCCTCCCAGCTCTGCAGGCGGAGATCTGGAGCACACGTGTGGGGCCCAGGTGGCAGGAATATGAGATGCATCAGGCGAGTCCACTGAACAGGTCCACTGACAGGATCTGCGCTCGATGCCGCAGCGCCGGGAATCAGAAAGGCCTGAGGTCTCGTGGGTCATTTGAAACATGGACCACAGGCAGGCACATAAGTAGGACTGAAAGGCCAGACTGCCCTGGGGTACGCAGAGGGGGGGATCTGAGGGCTTAGGGAGATGAGGGTGTTTAGGCGACTTGCCAACTCACCCACTGCTGGAGGGTCCAGAGGGCGCGCCTGCCCCACGACCGTGGGGACCACATCAGTGAGGGCCTGGCCCCCTTGAAGAACTGCATGCCCTTCTCCGCGGGTCAGAAACTACAGTGGGAGCTGCTGCCACAGAGCAGGGATCTCTAAATGCAGGGGGTTCCCGGGGTGGCAGGGCTATTGGTGGCGCTCAGGTGCTAAAAGCAGGGTGGGCATGGCTGTCATGGTGCCTGGTGGGGGCGCAGCCCCAGTCAGCAATCTGACGCACAGAGGCACAGGCACGGGCTGGTGATCGTGGTCCCTGGAAGTGAATGGAGGGTCAGCCTGCTAAAGTCCGACTTGGTCCATGTGAGCAGAAGGGTTGTTTCTAGGAAACGACATCGGACCTGGGCTACCAAAACAGAGGCCCGGCCCCTCGATCACAGACCCAGGCCCCTTGAGGAAAGACCCCCCTGCACTGCCGACAGTAGGTACTGCCATCTCCGCCCAGCCTCCCCCAGGGCCTCTGGCCACCGCCCAGGAGCTGAGCACCGTCCCGGGGAGGCAGCTCTGGTCCTGAGCTATGGATCACCCAGTGCAGGGACTGGCCTCCCACACTGGCCCTGTTGGACAGAGTCGCTGCGGGAGACCTCTGGCACCTTAGGGAGGGAACACACAGACCCCGAGTGTCCTGTAGCCAGGCCACTGGGATGTTGGGGACACTTCCAGAGGGATTTCCACAGCAGGAATGTCAGTGAGGAGTAGCCGTTTGGGCTGCAACGTGAGCCTCATGAGACGTGAGGGAAGCTGCTGGGTGAGCTGTGCTCTCGGGGATCCTCCAGGGAGCTGCCAGGTCAGAGATGATGGAGGGTGACCTCACCAAGCCGCAGCCTGGCCACGGCTCCCGCAGGAGGCCACGCGCTGGGGCAGCAGCCGGAGTCTGAGAGCCACCTCAGAACTTCTGTCATTTGTCTCATCTCTGGAGGCACCGCCAGCCACACGGCCGAAGGCAGCAGGGAGCCAGGTTATGGGTTCATTTCAGCATGAACCTCTGCTGGTCCTGGCCGGGCTCGCGAGTCTCGTACACCTCCCTGACCTCCAGCAAAGCTTCCACGCCATTTCCAGAGGCGCTGGCCGCCATGGGCTACTGCCAAATAGCACAGAACTGTCAGACGGGGCTCCAAACCCACCTGGCCCCGCGGAAGCAAAGCCGTGAACACAGGCAAAGGGCAAGCGGCAACGTCCCTCCTAGGGTGCTGGGGAGATACCGCCACAAGGGAGGGGCACCTCGTCAGTATCCTGCGCCCCTCCACAGCCCTGCTCGAACCCACTGCTGTGCTGGGCACCCCTGTGGCCGTCCCGCCTCAGCTTGGACTCCGAGGCGCCGGGCACTGGGCTGGGCTCTCAGGAGGCTGTGAAACTGGTCCCGGCGGAGGGACTGTGCCCCGGCCCTGGTTGAAGTCCATGTCACCAGCTCCTCAAGAATCTCGATGACGCTGTCCTTTGTCAGGATCACAGAAGTACCATGGGGGTGTGTCACAGACAAGGGACGGACTGCAGGTCCGCGTGCGGTGCTTCCACAGACAGTGCTGGGGGAGCTGTGCGTGTCGACTGCCAGCACCCCACGCCCAGAGGTGGTGAAGGGTGGGTGTTGGTGACGCAGACCCCATGTCCGTACCTGGCCCTTGCCTTCGTGCTGAAGACATAAGCAGAGGCACAGAGCATCCCAGGCAGCTGGTGAGCAGCGTCCCGGGGACATCTTGTGGCCAAGCTCAGGGTATGGGGACCAAGCCAGGCTGTGACGGCCCCCGCGAGCTCCCTGCCTGATGTGGCCTCCGCCGTGCAGAGCGGGGCCTGTGCCGGGCCTGGGTGGATAAGGGAGCAGGTTCCTCAGCCTCTGAGGCTTAATGGATGGCTGAGAAGTTTGTTTACTCAGCTGAGCTGCCTAGAACAGCAGTGACACCTACTTACTAGAAACATTGGTGTCCGCAGCAGCGGGACCCTCCGGGGGGTCCTCGGGGTTCCTCCTCTGCACCCCCGATGGGACCCCCGGCTTTGCGCAGCACGGCCTCTGCATCAACAGGACCTGGGGCATCAGCAAGTCGCCACGAAGCTCCCACGCCGTGAGGCACGGGCCCTGTTCCAGACACCCAGCCGCGGGAGGATGCTTCACGTTTGCAAAGCTTCAGATTATCCTGGTCGAGTCCCCAGGCCTGAGGCTTTCCTCAAACCTGACCTGGTGCCGGGAACCAGCTGAGCTCCGGGGCCAGGGGTGCAGGGGCCCTACCATCTGCCCGCAGCTGTGTGGCCCCAGTGGAAGGGCTTTGGCCAGTTTCCCTGACCGTCCAGGGTGCGCTGCAGAGTGGGCACAGGCTGTCCCTGCGTCTCCCGTGGGACAGGCAGGTGCTCTGCAGGAGGAGCCTGCGCAGCGCCAGGTGGCTCCTTGCGGGAGGCCCAGGGCTCTCAGTCCCTTCAGTGTTGACTTTGGGCCTCTACGTCTGAGATGGGCTTCTTTTTTTCCTTTATATGAATGTTCATAGCAGCTTTCAAAACTAGAAACTGCGCACATGAATGGAGATGCAGACTGAGGCCTGTCCATACCATGGAGTCCCACCAGCCATAGAGAGGCACCGGCTGGGCCCCGTGGATCAGGGTGGAAGGTGCAGCAGTGGGCAGTCCGAGGAGGCCATCGAGGGCAAGAAAGCTACCAGCCCAATCTCCCCCGGCTCTTCAGGGTGTCTGCCCAGGAGGGGTTACCAGAGGCGCCTCTGGGCACGCCCTCGCAGAGGCTGTTCTGGGCCCTCCGGCCTCCACCCCAGGCCGTGTGGGAAGCCCACTCCTGGTCACACGCCTGGAGGCTGGCAGCGCCGGTGCATTTGCTCACAGGAGGTGTCTGCCTGACCCCAGGGGTAGCTGGGGCTGGGCGGAGGGCCGGCGGGCAGTGGCATCCAGCCCCCTCTGGCCCCGCAGCGCCCACATGCCTTTGTGTCAGGCGTTTCCAGCAGGACCCTCCCTGGGCCCAGCACACCCAGCCACGTCTGCCTGCGGCATCTCGGGGGCTTTGCAAAACCAGCCCCATGATTTTCTCCCTGGTTCCCAAGTGCTTTTTCTGGCTACTTTAGCTGTTAACTGAGCAACCTTCTTTGAGACTTAAATTTAAGCCCTGTTTCATTCAGGGGTCATTTTAATTTTACACCGTCCGCAGCGGCTAACCGTGACGATTCTGTGCCACAGACATCGACGCTATTTTCCCCGAGGTCAGCCACTTCCTGTGAGCTGGCGGGACCTGGAAGAAGGCTGCCCAAAGGTACCAAGTGAAGAAAACAGCTGCGCAGAGGCCCAAGTTTCCCAGGGCAAGCACGAGGGGACACGTTGGACAGGCATCGCTCATCACATGTCCTTGGGTGCCCTTGCACCCTCAGCAAGACGTTTTCCAGTCCAACCAACCCATCAGCTGAGAGATGCAGTTTGTTCACCTGCCTCCCAGTATTCTTCATTAACATCCTTTTAGGTGTGTGAGGCTGCTCATAACCAGAGAAAACTTGCATTTGGAGATAGCGATAGATGCCTCTCCTGTGCAGTTCCAGCTCTGGTCAGCGTGTCCTGCTGTCCTGTTCTGTCCCTACTGCAGTGTGGGCACAGTGTGGCCGGGTCTCTGCTCAGGGCCTTACAGGCTGCAGTCAGGCGTCAGCGGGGTAGGCACCTCTTTAGCCCTCATGGTCATCGGCAGAATCCAGAGCCCTGTGTTGTAGGACTGAGGCCTTGGCTCCTGGAGGCTGCCCAGCCTCTTCATGGCCATAGGAGTGACCTTTCATGGCCCAGTATGGGATCCAGTGTCCTACCACGAAGTCAGGGCAAGGGGCCCTTCTGGTC